GGGTGGAACGAGATGAGCGGATGGGGGATCCTGGCTTAGGGCACCAGCAGGGCAGTGAAGACCTCACTGTCTCCCACCACAGGACCACCAGCATCAGTGTCTGCTTTGGGATSAGGTGCTGGTAGCCGGAGCTGGAAATGAGCCATCCAGACTTGGTTTCAAGTGGCCATGGATGGCCAATTCACAGTGTTCAACTTGCTCTGCCAAGAGGTAACTATTCCTCCATGTGCTGAACTTCAGTTTCAGTCTGATTTGTGTCATCTCACCGACATCAGACCTGGATGCACTTTTGCCTGCTGGTCCAAGAGCCCTCTGCTGCTCTGTTCCCACTTTCGTCTTGCATTCTGATGTGTGACCAAATTACTCCTTGCTCTGCACTAAACCCCTCACACAACACCACGTGAGTTGTGCAAGCTGATGCCGTGCCCATGGCTCCTTCTGGAGCTTTTCCCCGAGCTCCAAGGTTCCTCTGCACCACGAGTAGCAGAGATTCCCCCTGCCATGAAAGGCCATGCCACCGCCACAGCTGGATGTTTGGCTGTGTGAGCACGCACCACTGCGTCCCACACACTACTGGGATGTGCCAACGCAACAGCTGCTGCATGACCTGTTTGTRCATTCATGTAGGTACAAGCAAGACCTTAAGTCATTTCTTCTTCRGCTCCTCTGTGTGAAAAAGGGATCATAGCACTCCTTTTGCAGAGGGACCCTCCAGTTTGTTTGATGAATGTGAAGTGCTCATGTGATGGAAGGTACTGGGGATGGACAAAGGGGCAGCCGTGGCCTAAAGCTGATGRAGGCCCAAGCATTGTGTCACCCAGTTGCACTGTTTGCTAATCCAAGTGTGTAATCAGTACGCAGGCGACACATTGGCTTGGCTGTGTCACACACAGCAGCTCAGAACACTCTCACTGTGAGCTCATGATCCCCCAGAGGGGTCATTGGCATCTGTGCAGCCACCAAGGATGGACGATGTGCAGGGCAGGACGGAGCTGGTGGCAGCAGGACCACAGGATGCGTGTCATCGACACGTGGCCATGGCATAGGGAACATCCAAACCTCCCTTCTCTTCCCCACCTCTGCCCGCCAGCTCTCCTGAATGAAGTCCCAGCTTTGTTTTTCTGATTTCCATTTTGTATCCTAAAATATTCACTCCAAGTTCTGCTTGACAGACATGCCTAATCTAATCTCCATGTCTGCTTTCTAATTTTCGCAGCCAGGATAAAACAAATTGGCTGGCGTTAATTGCCTGTGCAGCGGCCTGGAGCTCCGAGCCGTGATTTACGAGCTCGGAGCAGGCGCTCTGCAACACATTTTTCTTAATTTATTTTTAATGAGTCTCTCAATTAATTTTCTTGGAAACATCTTAATGATGTTGGAGGCGGGTGTTAATGAGGTTTGTAGCAGCACCTCATTTTGCATATTTTAGAGTACTGAATGGCATGAAGCAAACTCCTGGTCCTAAAACTGTAAAAAGCCTTAAGGCTGGAGAGAAGGACTGCTGGGCTGACACTGCTGCCCTGGCTGAGGCTGAGGGGCTGCGTGGGCCAGTTGATGACTGTGAACGTTGTGGAGCTGAAGCCGGTTGAGCCCACAGGGATGATGAGATCCTGGCAGCATGSGGGGTGTGAGGGGCTGCACTGGGTCCTGATCGGTGGCCACAYGCTCAACAGATGGAATGAAAGCCTGGACACAGCGCCGGGGCACTGAGACCCCTGTGCTGGCATGCCCCATGTTATTTATGGGCACCCCACTCCCTGCATACCCCCAGCCAGACCATTTGGGCAGGAGCTCTGCAGGACACAGGACTGGTCTGGGTTGCCKGGGGCTGGCGGCTGTGGGGTGCTCTGGGATGCCTCTGCCATCCACGGGGTCACTGGTAATTGATGCATGTGCCAGCAAGAGGCAGCAGCTGGATTGCCTTTGTTTTCTCCCAGCATGTCAGTATTCATTAAACTGGAGTGGAATGAAAAAGGATTCACTTTTGTCCCAGCCTGAACACGGCAGCTGTTTCATTTCAATTAATGTGGCACTGAAAAGAGTAACATAGCAGTAATTAAAGTGAGACAATCCCACCGCCACGGCTGTGCTCAGCCATCCTACCAGC